ATTGCAATTTTGGTATTTCAAATAATTAAGAGTTGTGCTGGGTTGTGCTTTGTTTGTACTAACTTGTGCCGTTTATTTTTTTCTTAATATTTTTAACCGTTTTCAAGATATGGCAATTTCGAAAAAACAGTATTTTTGGTTAAATATCAAAGATTTCAACAATTCTACATATTACAAAAGTTATAATATTTTTTAATTTTTAGCGAGTAATGAGTGAAGGTGTAAATTCGTTATGTGTGGACGAAAAACTGTGGTAAGTGAGCACAATTAAGCAAAATTTGCCGCATCTCGATATTTGATTTTTTACAGAAATTACAGCAATTTTTCTGAAAAATACTGGTTTTTTCGAAATTGCCATATCTTGAAGATGGTTTAAGACATTGAGAAAAAATAAACGGCACAAGTTAGCACAAATCAAGCACAACCCACCACAACTCTTAATTTTTCGAAATTCGAAAACTGAAATTCTGGCATACTTTCGAAATTGTGTTTTTTTTTCGAAATTGGTAAGATATGGAAAAAAAATTAACGGCACAAATGGCATAGACAAATGTGAAAAGTACGTGATGCCATCGAAAAATTCCGGAATAATCAAGTAAATATCTTGAAAAACGATAAAATGTGCTTTCGAAGTCGAGTGGGTTGAACGCGTAAATCAGCATGTTGACTATGCAAAACATGATGAGAGCCAACTGGATAAAAAGACAAAACTAACTTTTCGTTGTCTTTAACTTCATTTGTCTATGGTAAAGGTATAGACTAAAATGTTTTAAAATTTCCCTATTCGGCAGATGTCACTATTGTTGATCTTGGGCCAGTCAAGTCACTCAGGGCTTGTGAAGTCACTTGACATCGAAAAAAAAAAGTATTCATGTTTCTGCTATTTAAGTTTTATATTTTTATATTTCACAACATATTTGGATAATGTAAAAATAAACGAAGTCCCTGCTTCATTTTTAATTGATAAATAATAAAGAATCACAAAAATATTCAATATTTTGTATAGTGAGAGAATTGAGTGAGTCTATTGAACCCCTCTCACAGCATGAACGATATCTATTGAAGCACTTTTTTCAGAGATAACATATGAGACAACTTTTTAGTCTATACCTAGCTTATCTATGGTGCAACTCAGCATAACTTAAAGTTTTTCGAAATTCGAAAATTGCAATGCTCTCAGATTTTTTCGAAAATATCAGAACTTTTTCCGAATTTCGAAAAAAAGTTCGGCACAATTGAACACACCTAGAACAATTCAGCACAACTTTCCTTTTTCGAAATTCGAAAATTACAATTCCAACGGACACCATATCGCGTTGTCAGCAACAATCCTTGGCCTGTACGGCGACGTTTGAATGTTGGATTGGATTTATTTGAATATTAAGGGTTAGGTTACAAAAAATAATTGATCACATTTTATTGAAAGCAGTTGAGATTTGGATATAGGGCGAATTTGGAAGGAGGAAATTGGCACAAAAATTAATTTATCACATATTATTAAAATCGGTTCAGATTTGCTTATAGCCTCCTTTTATTTGATGCACCAAACACCATATGCGTTTTGCTTCCAATGAGTTTTGGAATAAGTGACGGAATTTAATACAAATATAAATTTACCACATATTATTGAAATCGTTTCATATTTGTACATAGTTTCCTTATATATACTTTTTGGTGGATTTCGTATATATGAAGCACCAAACACGCCAAATATTTCTGATTGATTCGACGAAATTTCGTATGAAAATATACATGCCAAATAATATTGACATCGCTTGAGGTTTGTATACAGCTCCCATGTATATTTTCGGCCGATTTCGAATACTTGATGCACCAAACACGCTATGTGTTTTTGATTTCAAAAAAACTTGGAGTGAATGACGAATTTGGTACAAAAATTAATGTATTACACTTTATTGAAATCGTTTTATATTTGGATATATTTTCCTCAAATATTCTCAGTCTATTCCAGGTACTTGATTCACCAACCACAATATGTATGTTTGATTGAAATGAAATTTGCAATTGAATGTGGCACAAAAATTAATTTATTACATTTATTGAAATCGGTTCAGATTTGGATATAGCTCACATTCATGTATTTGATGCACCAAACATTATACGCCTTTTGATTCCAATAAAATTTGGAACGATTGACGGATTCGTTGAGCTGTTCGAAATAAGCTACACTCTTCAGAACAATGTCAGCGGCTCTAATAAACCGTGTGAGCGGAGTGATCGACATTGTTGCCTAATTTATCACAAAAACAATGCAAACTGTTTCCAAAGGAAATAAAATATAAGCATAGATTGCTATTGTTCAAATGAGATGGGAAATTTTCACAAATAAGAACCTCCAAATGTAGCACAGGAGAGAAATTAAGAAAATCTTTTCCTATGTGACATATATCACTAAAATTGCTCCAATATCAAAAAATTAAGAAAATTATTGCTTTGGTTATGCCAATGAATTCCAAAAATTTACCACCGATAGTACCATATTTATACAAAGATAGTGTAAATGTGCTGTGAATTTACAAGATTATGCCGAAAGTAGGGTGTATTCTTCAAAAAAATATCCAAAACCTAGAGAGGATCACAAATAGTACCAACAACTATTAATAAATTGCCCAAAAAATTTAAGAAACTAGCCACAAAAGAATATTTTCAACTAATGTTTGTTCTGAAAATATCTACAAAGAATATATAATGTAGGGTGAATTTGTCCAAAAATTCCAAAAACCCTACTAGGTTGCAATTGTTCAGCCAAATGTTAAATTATATTCACAAATTTTGCAAATCTAGCAAGAAAAAACTATTAATTTTTACCAATATATGTTGGTAAATATGCCTACAAAGAATGCCGAAGGTAGGGTGAATTTGTCCAAAAATTCCAAAAACCCTACTACTAATCAAAAATATTTCAGAAAATGATCGAAAAATAATTTCTAAAATAAATTACAAAAATTCACAATTTGTGCTGTTTTACCCCACTGTGCCGGACCAACAACGGATATCGCACAAAGAGGAATAAAACACAAGCGACGTCGGCAGAGAAATGACTATGCGTAAGCAGTTACGCACCCACACAACAAGCGACGCCACAAACGATCCAACAGTGAGAGTTGGAGATCAAAACACTTTGTTGTTATTTTTACTGAATATCAAATCGACGCTTAAAAAGGGCGCGTGGAATGATGATGTATTTTTGTTGCAATTTTTGGCAATGCAAATTCTCAAGTGAGAATTGACAGAAACAAATGAAGAAAAATTGCAACAACAATAAATGCGCGTTAGTGACGACGGCAAAGTAACCAACCGACAGATGGATGCACTGTTATTACAAGTGTGTTGTTATTGCTAATTAGAAACAAACAATTCTCGTTAAAGGGCTCAACCTTTGAAACGTGAAGGGGGATAACAACAGCGAACGTTTGGTTGGTGAGAAATTGAACAACAAATAAACCAAACGACCAAATATAAAAGAATGTGTATGTATGCTGTGGTGATGCAAATTTTTCTTCAACTAAGGCGAGGGAGTAGCAACAGCGAGGGGGATACTTTCTATTCTCACAAAGGGTTTAACATTTGAAAGGAGGGTTAGAAATGCAAATAACGAACGAAGCGGAGCAAGAGCACCAAATATTTTTGTATGATTAACGCGACGACGGATGATCAGTACAACGAAAGCTAACTATTTTCATAGTAACAGAACTACGTGTTGTAGGGGAATGCTCTTTATTAACACATGAAGTGCTAATACGAGTCGACCAACTGACTTGTTCTTAAGCGAAGAGCAAATGTATGATCACCGCGATGTTGGATGATCAATACAACGAGTAATATTTTTATGCAAAGACGAGAGTGGACTGTATTCGAATAACAATGACACACGCGTAGAGTAATTGAAGCTCGACCAATACGATGTTTTCTCGAATAAAAACAATTAACATACGCACACAAACGCGGGTAGCTCACTTCAAATAGAGATCTGAATTTACGTACCTGGTTTTTAGTCTTTTATGTGTTGATGATATGATGACAGAGACTCCGATGATTTCTTCATGCAAAAGAGGGAGCAGCGACAAAGTGATGGCTTCAATCCGGCTCGATGCGACCAATGTTTAACTCAGGGGAGTGGGGGAAAGGCTTCGTATAGCGGCGAGAACAGCAAAACTCCCCAGAGTTATTATGATGTGATGTGAGATGTGTGAGAGATGTGGTGCGGGTGATTCGCGCGTGTGGGGTGCAAAAGAAAGAAAATGGCAAAGAATAAAACACAGAAATAATTAGTATTAATTCTAGTTTAAATTTATGGTTTTATTGGTGTTCTTTCTTTTCTTATTCAACAAATTACCTTCAGTAATTGGGGTGGCGACAGAGGCCGTGTGTGTTCGCTTTCGTTTCTAGGAGACAAGTGAACGCAGAGCTTCTAAGTGATCGCAGAGGATCCCTTGTCTATTTCTAATACATATGCAAATACAGACAAGTGAACGCAGAGGATCTGAGTGACCGCTGAGGGTCCCATGTCTGTATATTATTACAATTACAACTACTTTCAATGAGAGCAAGGTGAGCCTACCGCCAACAACCAATACCCAGCGGCGATCCGCTCACTACGGTATCCGACAAGGGAATTGTAGAGGAGATGCCAATGTGCCAATCAGCATCCGTGATTGACGAGTATTGGAAAGTTGTGGTGGAACGTATCGAACTTATACAGATGGTATTTATTTGAATATTAAAGTTAAGTTTGATAAGAGAACCCAATGTGCTAAGAACATTTTAATAAAGACAACGCAAGTGAATATCTTCATTTCATATGTTAAGAATTATTTAATAAAGAATACGCAAGTGAATATCTTAATTGGAGCGAAGCAGTGTTGAAAAAAGTTTTCAAATAGACTTTAATAGCATTAATATCGACGAAGAAATTATACTCTGAGGTATACAAGAATTTAAAAAAAAAAACATTCTGAACTGACAAACCAATTGTCAACATGCTTTGGATCGGTCTGGGCTGCGAAGAAATGAAGGAGAAAACATCAGCAGCAGCATCATCAACAGAGGACATTTACAAAATCATCAGAAGCAACAACATTAACATTCAACATAACAATAGAGAATCGTGTAGTGAAATTATTGTAAGATATAGTAAAAAATATTATATTTATAAAAGTTTAAAAATAAATTTTTTCTAGAAAAGTGGTTTCGTGATTTCTGTAGTCGTGATTTTGATTTAGTTTTTAACAAGTACAAGCGAACTAGACAGCGAGGTTTAAAACTTAATTGATTCATTTAATAATTTTTATGTAGGTTGAAACGAACATATTATAGTGGCAACAACCGCGGATAGCTTATGTGTGCTTGTCGGCTCTGCAAATCGGCCGCTTTGAAAGTTCAAAGAATGCAGTTTGAAAAACAATTTTTTGATACTAATACGCTAAAGAATTCTACAATGCAGTAGAAAAGAAGCTTACTCAAAAATAAAACCACTATGTCAAAACGAAAATGTTGTAGCAAATTCAATGAATGAAAGATATAGGATTGATACGTTGCGCGTTTCAATCTCCGGTACCAAAATGACTTAAGCAATGTATTATTTTCTGCACGTCCGTCCGGATTGCCATCTGCCTTGGCATTAGCCCAAGAGGTTATGTAAAATTGGGAAAAGTACGTTTTTGCCTCGAACTTTTCAAAACAACGCGAAGTTAAGGATAAACATAAAGGTGAAGTACACGCATCACACTTCCAAAATAAGAATCCACACTTTATCAAACAAAACCCAGGTCGTTTTAACAAGAATGAAGATTATTCAGTAGAACCCATATAGGTAGACGAATCTGCAAGGTTCGAACAATCAACAAAATTAAAGCCGTCGTGATGGTCATATCCCAGAATCAACACGATCAAAACCGAAACCTACAACAGTCATTTGAAAATAGATAAAATTGGCAAAACAATTTTTGGCGATTTCAGGATTAGCAAGCTATTACATTTTTTATACGGAGTACGAAATTTAAATATTTACATAAGCCATCAACCTAAATAAAACGGTGCTAAAATAAAACGGTGGACAGCATTTGTTGACGAACATAATGCCAAAATTATTCATTAGCCTGGAAAGGAGAATTATGTGGTAGATGCCTTTTTACGACATAATATCCCTACTCTTACAGCCTGTTTCCACGTTTTACACGACAAACAGCTGATTTCCGATCTGATTTTGCGTTCCACTATCTTTTTCCTTTCGTACGCATGCGAACACAAAAGTCAAAATCAGTCACTTGTGTGTTTGTTGTCGTATGATAACAATTAAGGAAAATTGTTTTAACATAAACATTGCTTGATTGAAAATGTCTGACCGGCATTATTATTTACAGACTTGGGCTGATCTAAAGTCCCGAACAAAAAAGAAAGTTGCTGAAAGTAAAAAAGGGCTGCAAGGAACAGTTGGTGGTTTATACCGGTTTGAGTGCTTAATGGAGCTGGAAACAGCAATTAACCGGACACTCTTCTTATCGAAGTCCGCAGAACCAAGCGGTAAAACTTTTGGCTATGAAGACGACATCGATAACTGATTCGAGGCATTGGATACAACACCATCAAGACCGTAGCAGTAGTAACACCTACCAGGCAGTTCAGTTCGCCAGAAACACATAGCCAACAAGAACTACAAATAAACGTACAAACCTGCACCATCACAACTCAACAATAACAACCACCTGCCAAAAGACAAAAATCTAACCCCATCTCTACACACAAACTGCAAAACAACAGACACAGTCAGCACACAAACAACAAACACAGACCCAACAGCAACACCAACGTAAACAACCAACGTCCCCTCGTCAACACATGGAACATCAATCCGTGCAGAAATCACCCCCATTCAAATGCACATCACAACAAGATTTTCCATCCACATCATCAGCGCTCCAACGTCGGTGAGCAAATACCCCTTATCCGTCTGCAATTGCGGCTGGTCGAGCAGGAAATGCAATAGCCAAGGATCAAGCAGATGCAAGCAAAAGGATGGCTGACGCTGCAGAGAGAATGGCAGATTGTGCCAATGCCCAAACAAAAATGCTAAAGTCAATAGAAGCAATTCTATCAATTTTTTAAAAATAATTCGCTATAATAGTCCTTTAATAATAAATTAAACTAATTTTTTAATTTTATATTTTTATTTAAATAGAAAATTCTGTTAATTTTACAAATTTATTGCAATTTTTCTCCTTATTCCGTCAGCTCTGCTTTCAACATCATTATTGTGATCCACTTCGTCTTCCAGATCATCATCAATAACATCACCTGGCGGTTCATCTGATCGGTAGTGTAGTGGTATTTACTTACCACCATTGCATTTATGCTATAATAACCCTTTCTATTATAGTAAAGGGCTTTCAATTCGTGCCCTGGTGACTTGATGCGGATATGCGTGCCATCAACGCATCCTACAATTCCAGGGAACATTGTTCTTTCAGAGAAAGCCTCCATTGTGTTGCGTTCCTCTGTGAGTGTCGGCTTTTTTATCCATTGGCCGCAAATGTGGTTCTCAAAAATCTGCAGACATTCCGCAATGGTTCTGCTCACTGTTGACTTCGCTGTTGAAGTCAACGCTTCGTTCCCTAAATTCTGTTGGTAGCTTCCTGTCGCCAAAAACCGCAAGAATGTGCCAAGCTTTAAATCGGGACGGATTTGGGTAGTTCTGCCACCGGGCACCCACTTCTCTTCCATCATATCCAAAAGAGCCCGAAAAACTTCCTTCGACACACGAAAATTGGCCACAAACCTAGAAAAATTAATTTTTTATTATTTCAAAAATGTAAAAATACAATCATACTTACTGGTTGTTAGGTACTTTAAATAAATTCGAAGCATCTCTTAAATGTCTCCGTGGTACATTTTGAACCTCCTCCACATCATCAATAAAAAATAGGGAACAGTAATATTCATTTTTTTATTTTTTAAGAACACAAATAGTTTGAACACAATCACTAGAAATGTTACTTTGTTTGTTTATTTACAATTTGTTTGTTTACAACTGAACTGTCAGTTGAGATAGCGCCACTGCTACTTTTTCGCGTTTAAATTACACATTTGGCGCTTTTTTTGCCTTATTTCGCGATTATTTTTTTCCAAAAAAAATTTTGCAACATTGAATCGCGTAAGGCTATGCGAAAGAAAGAAGGAAAGTTAGTGGAACGCATTCTGATACGAAAGTGAGTGAGTAGCCTTCGTTCGCAAAAATTTTCTTTCGAGATCGTGGAACAGGCTGTTAATGTAGAGTCTCTATTCACTGAGAACAATTTTGAGCCCCAACCCTTGAATACATTAGAAGAAGATAATTATTCAGATCTCGCAACGGTACACAGCGAAATATCTTTGACTCACACTGTTGAGTCTATTGACAAGCCTGTTAATTGTTTTAGAAATCAAATTGTTTTCTTAAGAGGAATTTCATTATTTTTGCTGAGAAAAGTCGTCATTTGCTTGACTTCACAGATAGGGACACATTACTAAATGAAGTTAAGTATGTGATTAATCCAAGTGTCGTAAACCCAATACATTGAGACCTGCCAACGTTAGCTTGTATTTAACATGAACTTGTTAGATATTTCCCTTCCCAATTTTTGACAAGAATGAGCAAAGGGAAATCGTTACAATCAAACATAATCGAATAAGTGCACAGGGCAGCTCAAGAAAATGTTGAACAAATTCTTTTTAATTGTTATTTTCGAAAAATGGTAAAATTAGCAACTGAAATTGCAGCAAATTTTAAAACCTGTTTAAAGGCAAAATACGACAGGTATTATTGCGGTAGTTCGACAAATCCAATAATAAAACCAATGAAAATTTTTCCACATACAAGGTTTAATTTATTGAGCCTTTTTTAAACGTTATAATGATTAATATTATGTAAGACTTATGATTACAATGTATGAACACAATTTTCAATAAATGGTTGCAGCATCAAGCTTTTGCTTTAAAATAAAATTATATAATTAAATTACAAATTGTTGTTATAATTCCTTTTTCCCGGGAATACATTTGTTTGAGTGTGAAAATCGATTATACTTATAAACTAAAATCAATAAAATAAAAAACAAAAGTCAAAAGAAAGGAAATGTTATTGCAAGTAAACGACCTGTATGTTAACCCCTGTGTGTACCAGGTAGAGCGTTTGTATTGTTTGTATTCGCCTAGCTATAGAAACTATGATCATCATATATTTTAAATACATAGTTATTTTCATGATCACGAATTCGCTGAATAAATTTAGAAATAAAGTCACATACGTGCAAGCCAACTGGGGTAATTTTTTTCTCCATAAACTATCCTGTTGGAGTATCGTTTGTTGCTAGCATAGCATTTGGCAATACAATGACTTAGAACTTTCCGCTCAAAAATTTCCATTTCGTTAACGTATAGTAGTTTAGCATTATATTGGGAATTCCACATAAAAGATTATAGATTATTACGACAGCGAACCTTCACTAAAATCTGAGACCACTCTATCTTAAGTTGTGACAAAAATTTCAAAAGCCCAATTACAAAGAAACAACGCCTCATGGCGCAATACAACGTTTTGAGTAGGTGAGTCTGTTCTAGTCAGATACAATAAGAAGCTAGGGAATAAGATTACCCCTTTATATTCCGAGGAAGTAATGGAGGCTGATCTAGGAACTATCGTTCTTACTAAAGGGAGAGTGGCCAACAAGGACAACGTACGATAATTGTGCTAGGTTTGTGCTCAATTATGCACTTTTTTTCGAAATTCGAAAATTCTGACAAATTCAAAAATGATCTTTTTTCGAAAAAATCTGTGAGAATTGTAATTTTCGAATTTCGAAAAATTTAAAGTTGTGCTGAGTTGTACTCCATGTGTGCCGCTAAAATTTTTCCGATGACTCTTACCAATTTCGAAAGTATGGCCGAATTGCAATTTTGGTATTTCAAATAATTAAGAGTTGTGCTGGGTTGTGCTTTGTTTGTACTAACTTGTGCCGTTTATTTTTTTCTTAATATTTTTAACCGTTTTCAAGATATGGCAATTTCGAAAAAACAGTATTTTTGGTTAAATATCAAAGATTTCAACAATTCTACATATTACAAAAGTTATAATATTTTTTAATTTTTAGCGAGTAATGAGTGAAGGTGTAAATTCGTTATGTGTGGACGAAAAACTGTGGTAAGTGAGCACAATTAAGCAAAATTTGCCGCATCTCGATATTTGATTTTTTACAGAAATTACAGCAATTTTTCTGAAAAATACTGGTTTTTTCGAAATTGCCATATCTTGAAGATGGTTTAAGACATTGAGAAAAAATAAACGGCACAAGTTAGCACAAATCAAGCACAACCCACCACAACTCTTAATTTTTCGAAATTCGAAAACTGAAATTCTGGCATACTTTCGAAATTGTGTTTTTTTTTTTTCGAAATTGGTAAGATATGGAAAAAAAATTAACGGCACAAATGGCATAGACAAATGTGAAAAGTACGTGATGCCATCGAAAAATTCCGGAATAATCAAGTAAATATCTTGAAAAACGATAAAATGTGCTTTCGAAGTCGAGTGGGTTGAACGCGTAAATCAGCATGTTGACTATGCAAAACATGATGAGAGCCAACTGGATAAAAAGACAAAACTAACTTTTCGTTGTCTTTAACTTCATTTGTCTATGGTAAAGGTATAGACTAAAATGTTTTAAAATTTCCCTATCCGGCAGATGTCACTATTGTTGATCTTGGGCCAGTCAAGTCACTCAGGGCTTGTGAAGTCACTTGACATCGAAAAAAAAAGTATTCATGTTTCTGTTTATTTAAGTTTTATATTTTTATATTTCACAACATATTTGGATAATGTAAAAATAAACGAAGTCCCTGCTTCATTTTTAATTGATAAATAATAAAGAATCACAAAAATATTCAATATTTTGTATAGTGAGAGAATTGAGTGAGTCTATTGAACCCCTCTCACAGCATGAACGATATCTATTGAAGCACTTTTTTCAGAGATAACATATGAGACAACTTTTTAGTCTATACCTAGCTTATCTATGGTGCAACTCAGCATAACTTAAAGTTTTTCGAAATTCGAAAATTGCAATGCTCTCAGATTTTTTCGAAAATATCAGAACTTTTTCCGAATTTCGAAAAAAAGTTCGGCACAATTGAACACACCTAGAACAATTCAGCACAACTTTCCTTTTTCGAAATTCGAAAATTAGCAACAATCCTTGGCCTGTACGGCGACGTTTGAATGTTGGATTGGATTTATTTGAATATTAAGGGTTAGGTTACAAAAAATAATTGATCACATTTTATTGAAAGCAGTTGAGATTTGGATATAGGGCGAATTTGGAAGGAGGAAATTGGCACAAAAATTAATTTATCACATATTATTAAAATCGGTTCAGATTTGCTTATAGCCTCCTTTTATATTTTCGTCCGATTTCATGTATTTGATGCACCAAACACCATATGCGTTTTGCTTCCAATGAGTTTTGGAATAAGTGACGGAATTTAATACAAATATAAATTTACCACATATTATTGAAATCGTTTCATATTTGTACATAGTTTCCTTATATATACTTTTTGGTGGATTTCGTATATATGAAGCACCAAACACGCCAAATATTTCTGATTGATTCGACGAAATTTCGTATGAAAATATACATGCCAAATAATATTGACATCGCTTGAGGTTTGTATACAGCTCCCATGTATATTTTCGGCCGATTTCGAATACTTGATGCACCAAACACGCTATGTGTTTTTGATTTCAAAAAAACTTGGAGTGAATGACGAATTTGGTACAAAAATTAATGTATTACACTTTATTGAAATCGTTTTATATTTGGATATATTTTCCTCAAATATTCTCAGTCTATTCCAGGTACTTGATTCACCAACCACAATATGTATGTTTGATTGA